CGCCTGCACACATCTGGTTCGGAGCGCGAGGCTGGCGCCGGGCTTAGCCGCAGTCTCCATCCAGAGACGCACAGACTTTAATAGACTCATACAATTCGTCCTGATCTATCGCTGCAGCCGCAGCTGAAAAGCCGCTTTATTATGCGCGCTCCAAAGGGGGAAAAGAAGGAGGGAAGCGCGGAGCCGGGGGGGAGGCTGGCGCTGCCGCGCGGCGGGGACACGGAGCCGGCCCCGCCGCCCTCCCCGGCGCCTCGCGAAGCCGCCGCTGAATTAGCACCTCGGGCCCCGGAATTAGCACCACGGGGCGGCCGCGCGGACCCCCCTCCGGCCACGTCCTGCGGCCGCGCCGGGGGTCCCGCCGTGTCCCCCAGCCCGGGCGCCCCCCGGGAGGAGCATCGCGGTGCCCCGAAGGACTGCAGGGGGACGGGCGGGGTGTCGCTGGGGGTCGCTTGGTTGGTGGGAATCTGGGGGTGCAGGGTGAAAAACGAGGCGCTCCCGCACACCCTGTAGCATGGGCATCTGAAAACCCAAGTCATGCCCATTTTTCAATCCTTTTTTTCTTRTTTTTTCCCCCTTTTCATCAAGAGCCTCTTTTTTGGCCTCCCTGGCCCCAGGCAGGGTCCTGCTCTGGGGTCCATCACCCCGACTCTGCCCAGGGCTCCCCCCTTCCTCCCTATTCCTGGGTGCTTCTCCTTGCTGGGAAAACCCATCTATCCCCCTCGGGCACCTTAAAGGATGCTCAAGGCCACGGGATGCGGCTGAGGAGCCGGGTACCRATCCGGACCCAGTCCCTCTGGCTCCGGGTGCTCCCAGGGCTGCTGGCTGAGCCTGACAGGGGGCAATGGCCCCTTTCCCAGGGGAATCCAGCCCCGGAGCTCGGCCTCGTGCCCAAGGGGGTTCAGATGAGCAGCCTCGAAGCCCTAAATCATCTCATCGGGCTCCCCGCTGCWGACACACGCCCAGGCGCTCTTAAAATGCTGATTCGCGGAAATTCACCCCTCTTGGCTGCGCCGAGCCGAAATTTCATATTTTTCCTGTGAATCAGCCCCGTTCCTTGAAATAACAGCCCAAAAGCGGAGGGGAATGCTCTTCCCCTGCGCCATTCCCGCTCGGCCGCAGGCACAGCCGCCCCGGGCGGGATGGAGGGATGGACGAGGTGACGCCGCCGGGTCCCGTCACCGCGGTGCCCTCCCGGGCTCGGTGGCCATTTGGGATGTGGCCTCAAGGAGGCTTCCCGAGGGCACCGGGAAAATCCACGTGGACACATGGGATCTGCGTGATGGGATGTGCATCAAGAGACGCCTTCTGTCCCCTCTACCCACAGCCTTTCCCAGTCGGAAAGCAGCATCCGTGCCCAACGAGCCCCCAAAAACCTGGGGAGCAACAGCATGGGCTGGGGGAGCAGTGTTGTTTTTTCCCTTTTTCCCCTCTCTCGGGAGGCAAACCCCTCTGCGGCTGCTGGAGCCGGCAGCACGAGTCCCTCCTGCCTCCGGTGCCCGGGGCCCTTGCGGAGYGCGGGAAGGGGCCGGAGCAGCCGGGGGGGTACGGGGGTGCCGGATTGTCCGGGCTCGGCCACGCACAGCCAACCAGAGGCTGTCCGGGATGGAAACCCCAATGCTCCAGGCGGATGCTCTGGGGATACTCTGGGGRTGCTCCCGTGATACTCCCAGGATGCTCCAGGGATATTCCGGGGATGCTCCAGGGATTCTCCCTGCACGCGCGGGGCTGCCAGCATCCCCCATGGGCACAAGCTGGGCCGGGACACAAGGTCCCCTCCGCTCCCTCCACTTGCTGCTGCCCCCCTGGCACCTGGCGGAGGGGACAAGGCTGCCCTAGCGCGGGTGGCAGGGGAGCCCCACGAGCCACACGTCCCCATCACGGAGAACRGGCCCAGGGAGCTGCCCTTGCAAAGGGGACACCCGGCGATGCCGCCTATCCCGTGCCCAGGTGCTGGTGTCACCCTGGGAGCATCCGGGTGCTTTGTGCCTGTCCCGTCCCCAGCCCAGAGCAGCCCCACAAGTGGCCACAGAGCCCCATGGGGACAGAAAGTGGCTCCTGATGGATGTTCGTCCCAAAGCACCATCGGAGCCGGTGCCTCTCCCATCCCCAAGCGGCACYGGAGCGAGTTCGTGGCACACGGAGCCACCAGCCCCAGCCTGCTGGCTGAAATTACCCTCCTGCTTTATCATCTTGAGAACATTAGGGGCTGTTGTTAACAGATGTTTCGCGTTACTCGTTATTTGTTAGTCTAATGAAAGGAGGTGAACAAGCTTTCAAGACCTCAGAAGTTGCGCGGAAGGTCTGAGCGGGGCGGCTGCCGCGCGGGGACGGGGATGGAGATGGAGATGGAGATGGGGACGGGGAAGGGGAAGGGGACACTGTCCCCACGGCCGTCCGTCTTGCGGCGTTTCCTCCTCGTGGGTCTTTGGGTGTCCCGGGCGGCCTCTCCRGGGCAGGACAGGAGCGGGCAGGACTCCAGCATCCCGGGAGAGAGGGATGGGGGGACAGGTCTGATCCCCAGGGCACCCAGCGGGCGGGTGAAGGTGGCCAGGGGCCCGATCCTGCTCAGCAGATCCCCCTCCACATCTGCAGGGATTGGGGACCTGAATGTCCTCCCGCTGGGACATGGGGACACCCCTCCCTGTGGGGACACGCAGAGGGATTCRGGGGCAAAGGAGCAAACAGGCTGCGGGAGATGCTCAGGTAACGGGGCTCATTTGCACGGGTAATAAACCCCTTTGCCAGCAACCAGCGGCGCTCGAAACCTGCATCTGGTGGGGGAAAAAACTGCTGGTGAAGAGGAAAAATGAAAGACAACACCAGGGGCCTGTTCCACTTTAGGATGCCCATAAAAGATAACGTTACCAGTAAAAGTTCCCTTGCTGTCATCGCACCGAGGCTGGAAACGTCTCAGATGGGGAGCCCAAGGCTGCTGCTCGCCCGGGCAGGGCGCAGCTGGAGCTCCTGCCTCCCCTTCTCCGCTCGGGATGAGCCCATATTTGCCTGCTCCGAGCTTTTCTCTCCCTGTCTCCCTGTCTGGCTTCCCAYCAGCTGCTTTTGGCTCCTGTTGTCCAGGTATTGGCCTGTCCAACTGGGATCACTGGGAGAAATGCTTCCTCTCAGAGAGTGGCTGGTTGGAGCATCCCCAGTGCTGTCCGGCTCCATCCCCATCCCATGTCCTTATGGAAACAGGTTCCAGCAGGAAGCATCCGCCATGGGGCAATGGTGCTGGGAGCAGCAGGGTGATGCAGGCTGGGATGGATGGATTTTTGGGGTGAAAAGGGGGCTTGTAGGGATCAAGCAGCCCCCATGCCGCTCACTCCAGCATTCACATCCCGCCTTGAGTCCCCTCTGAGCCGCTTGGGGGAACAGCAGGAGTTGGGSAGGGGTATTCTCTGCCTCTTTGCAAGCAGCCCTGGGGCACACGGTCCCCTCACATGGTCCCAACACCAGCAGAAACCCCCTGCCACTGTCCCCGAAGGGGRTCTGAGAATCACAACCAAAGCCCAAGAGAAAGGGTGGGAGAGTGGAAAACAACACCAAAAATACCAGATTTCATCCCAGAAACGGGTGCCTGACCTTGGTGCCTCCAGCCCCAAGCAAAGGGCAGGGCCAGGGGGTTGCTCCGTGGGGAGAGGGAATGGGACGCGGGCACGAAGAAGGGTCCGTGCCCGGTCCTCCAGGATCCTTCACCCTCTGTCTCCCTCCGGATGCCGTCCCTCTAAGTGACACCYGGCTCTGGGAACCTCCCAGGGCTCCGGGGCTGCTTCTCGGGGACCCTCTGAGTCCCCTGAGCCCCAGGGCCTCCAGAGCCACATGCAGAGTGACGGAGCCGGCAGCACCAAGCCCGATCACGGAGCAGCGGAACCGGCAGAGGGGAGCGCGGCACAGAGAGCCCCGCGGGCGGCGGAGCAGCGCAYGGAGCAGCGCACGGAGCAGCGTGGAGCGGGTCGCTCATCCCGGCGGGGATCACGTATCCCAGCCCAACTGCACATCCCAACAGGGATCACATATCCCAGCCCAACTGCACATCCCAGGGTGGGTCACACATCCCAATCACAGCAGTGGGACCACCCCAGGCAGGAGGTTCTGTTCTGTTAAAGGACGGTCCAGCCGTGCCCAGAGTGTCCCGAACTCCCGTCTCTTACGTCCCTTTTCCATCCCCACGCCGGTGCCCGCGGGAAGTGMGAGGGCTCATCCCGGGGCAGGACGGGGCTGCTCCCGGCTCCCAAATGGGCACCGGCGGCCAAAGCGGCTCCTCTGGCCCGGCTCCGTCCCACGGGGAGCGCACGGACAGCGGCCCGGCTCCGTCCCCGCTGTCCCGGCTCCGTCCCGCCCGCCCGGGTCGCTCCCGGCGGCCGCGGAGCTGAGTACGGCCGGTGCCGGGAGGGGACCCGCTCGGTCCCGGTTCCCTCGTCCCGGCGGGCGCCTCCGAGCCCGCGGAGCCTGGGACCCCGAGGCCGCCCCTCGCCCGACGTCCCCGGTCCTGGCAGGAACCCTGTCCCCGTCCCTCCGGTGCGGGGTCCCTGTCCCTTTCCCTCCGGTGCGGGACCGTGTCCCCTGCCGCGACCGTGGCGGCTTGCGATGATCCTGCGGCGCCGGTGCCAACCCGGGCCGGGGGGGCGGATCCGCGCCCCCTCCTCATCGCTTCCTCAGATCCCAAGAGGGCCGGCGGCTCCGGCACCCTTGGGTGCCACGCAAGAAAGGGGGATGGTGGCCGGGCCCCCGCGGCTGCTCCCGGGCTGCATTGGGGATGACTCAAAATACTCCCGGGAGAGTCGCAGCCGGGAAACAGCGGGGACAGGAGCGGGGGGGTCCATGGTGCTCCAGCCCCCCTAGTCCTGGGTGTCCCCGGCCCCCCGATGCRGAGCCTGGTGCTGTGTCCGCCGTGCTCGGCGCCCGTCTGCAGGGCGGGGTGGGGGGACACCCCAAATCGAGATGCAGGGTTTGGGGGGGTGACCCCATCCCCAGGGCTGGGGAGCGGGGCCCGCGGGACTCACCGTCCTGGGGCGCTGCCTCGCTGCCGCTGCTGCCTCCCGACGGCTCCGGCACGGCCTTGCCGGCGGGCGGGGGGCCGCCGGGGGGGGTCCCGTTCATGCCGGCCGCCACCTCCTCCAGGTCGAGGAGGTGGCTCACGCTGAAGTTTTTCCGGCTTTGGGCATTTTCGGGCGGCTCCGGGCCGCGCGCGGCGCTGGGGGCGAACGCCTTGTCCATGGCGAAGGCTGGCGCCGAGTCCATGGCTCCCCCCCCAGCCCGCAGCCCACCCCGAGGTGCCGGGCGGCTCCCCGGGCTCCTTCTCCACCCCCTCAAATAATAATAATTAAGAAGAAAAAAAAAAGAGGAAAATACTAAAAAAAAAGAATCTCGGCTGCCCCGCGAGCCCGGCTCCCTCCCCAGCCCCCGTTCCGCCTTGTGCTGACGTCTGGGGAAAAAAAAAAAAACCACGCTCCCAGCCCAAACTTTCTTCCCCTGCTCTTTGCTTGGAGCTCTTCAAACAAACGCCCCTGCTCGGAGCGGAGCGGGGCGGCCCCTCGCCCCCCGGCCCGGCGACCTGCCCCCTGCCAGGGGCCGGCACCGGCACCGCGGCGCAAAAACCCGCCGGGGGGCACCAGAGAAGGGGAAAAAAACGCTTTTCTTCTTCTTCTTCTTTTTTTTTTTTTTTTTTTTTTTACGCCTTCCCTATATCCCCCCCCTTCACCCCGCTCCGGCTTAAGTGCTTCTATCAACAAGTGTAAGTGGCCGCGCTGTGGCCAGGCTGGGGGGGGACGGGGGGCAGAGAGGCTGCCACCCGCCACCCCCAAATGGGCTGGAGGCGACGGGGACCCGCGGGGGGACCTGCCCCCCCCGGCGAGGTCACCCCCCCCGGGGAAAGCCCGGCTCTCTGGGCCCTAATGAGATAATTACGTCCTGTGCCGCAGTTAAAAACTCATAGGCTGCTTCCCTTGGGCTCGCAAAGAAACCTCCCTAATGAAAACCAGCCACGGCAAGAGGAAAAAGGAGTTTTTTCCTCTTTAAATATTAAACATACGTATATATATATGCGGGAGGGTGCAGAAAGTGGTGGCTGGGGCTGGTGGCCGGCGAGGGCTGAGTGGGGGTTGAGGAGCTGAAATGGGAGAGGATGAGGAGGGGTTTCTTCCTCTTCCTCGTGCCCATGCCTGGCTGTGTGTGAGGACACCCTGCGTGTCCCCCTGTCCGTTTCTGATGGGCAGAATGTCCCCTGCAGCCCCCTGCGGTCCTGAGTGTCCAAAGGAGCAGGATAAGCCCCCCCTTTCCCCCTTCATTCGGTCCAACTTTTGCACCAGCTGCTCCAAATTTTTGGCCCGAGATCTTGGAGACCAAATGGGCATCCTAGCCCATGGACACACATCCTGCGGAATAACCAAGAGTGGCCCCTTCCCCAAAACTCCCCACCCCAAAATCACCCAGGGAACAGCCTGGCCAACAGTTGCAGCCAGTGGGATCAGACCTTTGGAGGATGCCCACATTCCCACAGGGATCTGCCCGCCGTGCCCTCTCCGGACCCAAAGGTCCCCTTTGGGCCAGGGAACATCTTGCCAGGATTATTTCATAGGGGGCTGCAGTGTCACGGCCCGACCTGCCTCCCCCCACAGTCATCACCCTCTTCCTCCTCGTGCCCTCGGCCAGACCCAGCTCTTGAACCCGTCTGGCTTTTCCAGGGGCTTTCGCTCAGCTCACGGCATTAAATAATTAAACAGAGGGAATAATCGTCGGCGAAACCCCCTTGGGTTCGCACTTCCTCGGGCCCTGTGATTGCTGATATTTTTTTTTCGGGGTGAAATATGACCTTTTTTTATGATCAAAGGGGATCAGAGTTCCAAAGGAAAGGTTTTTTTTTTTTTTTTTTTTTTAAAAAAAAAAAAAAAGGCCAAGCATTTTCTTCTTCCCAATCCTAGCGGTCTGGTAAAGTTTCTTTAGACATGCAAAGATTTACACACCTTTCTGCGGGGTGCCTTAAATTACCCTCCGACTCTTTACACATTTCCATGAGCGGAGCAAGAACAGTAAGTCATTGAGAAATTAACTGGCCTTTCAGTAATATCCCCTGTCGGCCTTTCAGAAGGGGAATGTCTAATGACTTTTTTGAAGTAGAGGTCAGGGTTTGCTTTTTTTAAATAAAACAATCTGTATTAATGCAATTTCCTTTTTAGCTGTAGGATTTGACTTTTTTTTTTCTTTTTTTCCCAAGCATCAATTTTTTTAGCCCCGCCAGGCGCACAAGGCACCGAAGCCAGACCCATTTGTTTGCAGCCCCCTGTCCGCTCCGTTCCTGGCTTTCCAGCGCAAGATCTTCTTTTTGAAAAGAAAAAATAAATGCATTTCCAGTGATGAATAGTGGAGCATGACTCGGTGACTGTTGCCCGGGATGCCCTTTTCCCAAGGAAACGCTCCTGTAGCCCTGCCAGGATTGGGAGCKTGGGGCTCTGAGGATTTGATGCCACATGCCTGGGATGTAGCTTTGTCCCTAAAGGTGCCATCCCAGAGTGGCATCCTTGCCAGGGATGGGCACCCAGCCTGCAGACTTGGTGGTGCCATGGGATACATGCCTGCGAGGATTGTGCATCCTCTGCAAGCATTGCACACCCCCTGCAAGCACTACAGATCCCTTGCAAGCATTGCACACCCCCTGCAAGCACTACACATCCCTTGCAAGCATTGCACACCCCCTGCAAGCTTTGCACACCCCCAGTTGGAGTGGAGGCCCCCAGGGCTTTGGGGCAGTCAGTGCCAGGGAATTTTTCTTGGCTGGAGGGTCCCGGTGCCCAGGTGGCCTCATGCAGCAGCCATGGAGGACACTGGTGTCCCTCGCCACCCGCAGCTGYGATTTTGTCCCCAGATGCTCATGGATACCTCCTGCTGCCAAACCCGTGCCCGGGGTTGCCACAAGCCAAGCGGGAGCAGCCAGGGTGCTGTGCGGGYCCCTGTGGGCACCTGCCCCTCCAGCAGCGGGTGCCAGGGACGGCCCTTGCTCCAGCCTGGGCACGAGGGGATTGGGGCGTTGGGATCAGCAGCGTGTGGCCCCAATGGGCTGCTCCCCACCCTGGCGTGGGAAGGGCATCCCCATCCCCACAGCRATTCCCACTTCTCCCTGCATCCCTCCCAGCTTGCCCTGCTGCAGATCCTTCCTTCTTGCTCCCTGCTCCAGATCCCCGTGTCCTAACAGCTACTTGGCTTAACAGCCAGAGGTGCCATAAACCCCCCCGGCCAGGCTGGCCCAGAGGTTTCTCTCCCCAATTTCGCATTCCCTCCATTTCTGTTTCTTTCGCTCCCTCTTTCTCGCTCCCCCTCTCCCTTTCTTTCCCTGCCAGGAATCCCGCTCCCAGATGAACCGACGCTCCGTGGCTCTGCTATTTCCCTTTTATTCCCCCCCACCTCCCTCGTTCCGCAGCGAGATGGGAAAAGAGTGAACTAAAAAAAAAAAAAAAAAAAAAAAAAAAAAAAAAAAAGGAGAGAGAGAGAGAAAGAAAGAAAGAAAAAAAAATCAAAGCTGCACATATTGGATCCAGATGTGCTCGCAGCCCTTTCCAGCAATTTAATTAAATTCCCCCAGACAGCCAGGAGGATTTCTTAATGATCAAATTTCCCTGGCTTTCCTCCTAAAATGCCCCTCTTTCCCCGGCCCGCCGCGGCTCTGTCTCCCTGATGGATCTGATGGATCGCTGCGCRCGGCTCCCGCCGCCGCCACCGGCCCCGCCGCCGCGGCCGGGGGGGCTCCGGGGCACCGGGCTCCGTCCCGGGCGGCTCTCCGGGCCCGACACCTCCTGTCAGACCGGGCTCCTGGCGCCGCTCCAGCCGCCCAAGGCTCCTCCGCAGCCAGCGGGGGTTGCTCGGATGCGGGCGAGGAGGGATGGGGGGGGTAAATTTGCGAAATGCCTCTGCGCTGGAATGCGGTGCCGGCGTTTCCCGGCCCTGGGGCAGGGACGTTCTGGCTGCCAGGAGCCCAGCCAGGAAATGCAGGATGCTCTGGACTCCCCTGTGCCTGGGCTGGGCGCCTGGATGCTCCGGAGGGCTCGGGGCTCAGCTGGAGGCTCCGGGTTTGTAACAGTGCAAACCCCCACCCTGGGGTGGCCCCCTCACTCCTCTGCCCCCGCCGTGTGCAGGCACTTGGAAGGGCTCCACTGGTGTGAAATAAATAAGGAAAATGGAGAAAATAAGGAAGCCAAGGTGGCTCCGCTCGGTGCTGCAGCTCGGGCAGTGCTCTGGCTGCCCGGACATCCCACCAAGGTGACCATAAAAGTAATGGTGATGGTGACAACAGATACCRGGCTGCCCATCGCGGTTCCCTGCTCCTTGGGGCTCCGAGCCCCCTTGGAGCCCAGTGGTCAGCATGTGCCACCGGGAATGTCCCATTGGGAAGGAGCGAAGGCCCGGCACAGCAGTGCGGGCAACTGCCTTGGCAGAGAGAGGCAGAAGGTGCGAGGGAAAGGGGTGGAGGGAAAGGGGGAAGAGACCAGGGAAACCGGCAGGGATGGGGAAGGGAATGGGGATGGCAAAGGGAATGAGGGTAGGGAAGGGAATGGGGATGGGGAAGGGAACAGGGATGGGATGAGGATAGGGAGAGTAAGAGATGGAGAAGAGAAAGGACGAGGTGAGAAGAAGGGAATGGGAAAAAAGGAAGTGGAGAGCGGGAATGAGCGGGAAGGGGCGGGGGGCGCCGCGCGCACGCGGCGCGGGACGGGACGGGCGCGCGCACCTGCTGCGCGCCCCCGCTGCCGCCCCCTGGCGGCCGCCGCAGGCCCCGCCCCCTCCGAGCCGCGCCACGCCCCCTCGGCCAGCCCCGCCCCCTCACAGAGCCGCGCCCCCCGAGACACGCCCCGTCACTAAAGCTCCGCCCTCCGCGTCATTAAAACCACGCCCTCGCGAAGAAAGCCACGCCCTCGCAAAAAAAGCCACGCCCTGCAGCCGGCCCCGCTCTCGGCTTCCGCTTCCGGCGGGCGGCGGCGGCGGCAGCGGGGCAGGTTGGGCGGAACCGGCCGGGCCGGGACACACCGGGGGGGGGGGGGCGGGGGCACGGGGGACCCCCCATGGGTGCGCTGAGCTGGGGCGGCCTCAGCCGCCGCCGTGGCGGGGGTTCCGGGGCCGCTCCCCGTGGCGCCCCGGGCTCGTCCCGATGCGGAGCAGCGGGGCCGGGGGCTCCCCGCTGCCCCCCGCGGTGCTGGGGGCGGTTAGGGGATCCGGGGGGGCGCAGAGGGGCCGGGGGGCGCCCCGTGTTCGTCGGGGCGGCCCCTCCACGGCGGCTGCTCTGTCCTTGAAGGGGCCCGGGCGCCGCGGGGCGCAGGAGGCGCCGCGGGCCATGCGGGAGCGCCATGCCCTTCCTGCACGGCTTCCGCAGGATCATCTTGGAGTACCAGCCCCTCGTGGACGAGATCCTGGCGCTGCTGGGCACCGCGGAGCCGCCGGCCGCCCCGCAGAGGTAACGTGGGGCCGGCACCCGGCGCGCCTTCGCCTTCTCCGTCTCCCTCGCGCTGTGACGGCGCCGCGGGGCCCCGAGCTCAGCGCCGGCACCGGCCCCTTCTCTGTCCCCAGCGCCGCCTGCCCCGGCGGTGACCGGAGCCGCCTGGGCGCCGTGAGACGCGTCCTGGAGAGGGAGGCGCGCGCGCCCTTCTACCAGGAGGGCGTGAGCTACGCGCTGCTCAAGGTGGCCGAGCTGGGGCGCGTCCCCGCCGCCGAAATCCTCCTGCAGTTCGGGGCCGAGCTGGCCTTTGAAGGTACCGTGACGCGCGTGCCCTCCCGGTGACTTGGCTGGGGGTGCCTGGCTGCTGCGGGGGGAGACCTTTCCAGGGACCTGGGGTGCGTTAGGAAGAGCGTCTCCAGCAGGTYGAGGGAGGGGATCGTCCCCCTCTACACAGCCCTGGGGAGGCCACAGCTGGAGCCTGTGYSCAGTGCTGGGCTSCCCAGGACAGGAGGGATGTGGAGCTGCTGGGGAGAGGCCAGCGCAGGRCTACGAGGAGGATCAGGGGCCTGGAGCATCTGCCCTGTGAGGAGAGGCTGGGAGAGCCGGGCCTGTCCAGCCTGGAGAGAAGGAGGCTGCGGGGGGACCTGAGCAGGGTCTGTAGATACCCCAAGGGAGGCAGCGAGGAGGACGGGGCGGCCTCTTTGCAGCGGTGGCCACTGACAGAACTAGAGGMATCGGCCACAACCTGAAGCACCAAAAGTTCCCCAGGAACTTGGGGAAACATTTCTTGGCAGGGAGGGTGCCCGAGCCCTGGCACAGGCTGCCAGGAGAGGCTCTGGAGCCTCCTTCTCTGCAGATCTTCCCAACCCGCCTGGRCGCAGCCTGTGCCACAGGCTCTGGGTGAGCCTGCGTGTGCAGGGGCTTGGACTAGAGGATCTCCAARGGTCCCTTCCAACATTAAGCATTCTGTGATTTGTGACCTGGAGGCCCTGTCCCCTCTAGTGCAGGGCGGGAGGGTGTCTGGTCAGTCCCCTGCCAGGGCCCAGGGGGCCTCTTGGCTCCCTGGGGCTTTTAAGCTGGGTGGAGCCGTTGCAAAAGGAGCCTCTGGGCAGCTGATAACAGCCCTGCTTCCAGGCATCTGTTTTCTCGGTGCCTCCGCCCCGTCCTCCTCATTGCCTTTGGCAAGATACCGCAGCAAGCAAGGCCCTTYGCTCTGCTCTGACAACCTGTTTCTGTGTCCCCAGATCCAGTCACCTACTACACGCCGCTGCACATGGCTGTGCTCCGCAACCAGGCGGACATGGTGGAGCTGCTGGTGCGCCACGGCGCCGACATCAACCGCAGGGACCGGGTACGGGCCGGGCTGCCGCCCGCGCTCGGAATGAGCGCTGGGACTTTGCTGGGGACACTGCTCCCCGTGACCAAGGCCTCATGGATGTTGCTTCTGTGCCAGAGGGTCCCGTTTTGGGCTGAGCCGACCTGCCCGGGCTGCGTTTTGGGCTGAGCCGACCTGCCCGTCCGCGTTTTGGGCTGAGCTGACCTGCCTGGGTCACGGAGCATTGGCACGGAGGGTGCCGGGCACACCAGCACCTCTGCACACACCAGGGGATTTTCCACTTGGTTATGGGCTGGTGCATTCTGCTCAGTGCATCGGCTGTAGTGGAGTCTTGCCTGAGGGACTCGCCRATTATCTTTATTATTAATTAATCTCTTTCCCTCTTGCTCTGTGCAGATCCACGAGAGCAGCCCCCTCGATCTGGCCAGCGAGGAGCCCGAGCGGCTGCCCTGCCTGCAGCGTCTCCTTCAGCTGGGGGCCGACGTCAACGCGGCGGACAAGAACGGTGTGTGTCCTCCCGTATCYCCTGGAGCAGGGGGCTGCTCCGGGGCCTTCCCTGCTGCACGCGCTCCTTGGGCATAAACTGTTTGGGAAGTCGGGTGCAGCTTGCAAACGCTCTGTTTTCTCCATCTTGGCTGCATCTGGTGCAGGAGGAGGTTGACACCCACCCTGCTCTTCCCAGGCTCTTGGGAAGAGCCTCTGCCCTGCGCTGTGGGATGGGGCTGTCTCTCTGTCGCCTTTTGGCACCTGGCACTGCTTGTGTGTCCTCTGGTGCCACCACCAGCCCTGCACGTGTGGCCCATCTGCCTGTCCTTGCACTGAGTAGCAGCGCGGGGCCAGGGGGAGCCTGGAACGTTTCTGTCCCCGTGTTCAACCCTCTGCTTGGTGGGGTGGGCTCTGCTCCCCGCYGCTTTGTGGAGCGGCTCTTTCTCTTCATCCCCAGGGCTGTTCTCCCGGGGCTGACTGTGATTGTTCCGTCGCAGGAAAGACAGCTTTGCTGCATGCCCTGGCCAGCAGCGATGGAGTCCAGATCCACAACACCGAGAGCATCCGGCTGCTCTTGCAAGGCGGTGAGAACGACCTTCTATCCTCTCAACCTGTGACTCCTCCAGGCCCAGAGGCGCTGGCGCTGCCCTCCCTGCTTCTCTGTGACCCCTCTCGAGCAAGAGGAAAGCGCAGCGGTGCCAGGGTCAGTGCTGCACTGGCCTCCTTTGCCGTATCCTTTCCAGAGGATGCTCCAAGGACAACCCATCACTTAAAGCCTGGCGCCTTATGGAACATGTATCGAGTCCTCAGACCGTAGGGGAAACAGTGGTGACGAGATGTGACGTTTTGGGTGGTTTCTGCGCTGTTGGAGCAGCTGGGTGGCAGAGACCAGTGAGGCGGGAGGATGCCCTGTGAGGGCTGGTGCTTTGGTTTGGGTTTGGTTTCTCCTCTGCCAGAAGTGCTGTGGCCGAGCCCCTGCGCTGTACTCGGCACAGCCACGTCCTCTTTYTCCTAAAGCCTGGCTGCATCTCTGTCCCTTCAGGTGCGGATGTCAGGGCCACCACCAAAGACGGCGACACTGTCTTCACCTACATCATTTTCCTGCTGGGAGAGATGGTGTGCAGCAGTGCCGAGGAGGCACAGGTCATCAGTCGCTTCTGCCTCCGTGTCACGCAGCTGCTGCTGGCCCACGGCGCTGACCCCAGCGAGTGCCCGGCCCCCGAGTCCCTCACCCACCTCTGCTTCAAAAGCTTCAAGCGCCACTTTCTGCTGCTGCGGTTCCTGCTGGAGTCGGGCGCTGCCTACAACTGCTCCCTGCATGGCCCCTCGTGCTGGTCGGGCTTCCACATCGTCTTCGAGTGCCTCTGCTCTCACCTCAGTGTCTCTGAAGATGACAGCTTCTCCACAGAGCTCCTCCAGAAGGCTCAGATTCTGCTGGAGCTCATGATGGCGAGTTCACAAGCCGTCCAGCTGCCCGCTGACTTTGAGGTGAACACCAGCAGCTGCAGGTACCACGGGGAGAAGATCAGGACTCTGTTCTGCTCCTTGAAGCAGCTGGAGCATTCCCCACAAGGGCTGAAACATCTGTGCCGGGTGTTCATCCGGCAGCGCCTTAAACCGTGGCCGGTGGATGTCAAAATCAAGGCGCTACCTCTGCCGGACAGGCTGAAGTGGTACCTCCTCATCGACCACGCTGCTGTTGGGCACGAGGAGCCCTGAGCCCGGCCAGGGTCTCCTCCTTCTCCCCACCTTGGAGGTGACCTGCAGGACAGCCAGCAGGCCCTTGCTTTGGACCAGCTTTTGGAGCAGCGACAAGTGCTGCTGTCCCCGTGCCCACGGCTTGCCCCCAGCGTCCGTCCCCGCCGCGTTTTGGKCCTGGGCTGCTTCGCCCAATGCTGGGTGTCCTGTGGAGGCCGTGCTGCTCTGCGCGTGTCGGGGAGGCAGCAGGGTGAGGAGAGGCCCTGGGCAGCCGGATACTGGGGTAGACGGCTGGATTGGGAGAGAAGCGCCGCTGGTCTCACAGGCAGGACCAGCGGAGCAGCTGGGGTGCTGTGAGCGGGCAGCCTGTCCCTTCTYGTGGCACGCTGGGGCTGGCTGGAGCAGTGCCTTGTTGTTCCCCGTCCCGGAGGGCAGCGGGCGGCTCAGCCCTGCTCTGCAGCGCGTCCTGCCCGGCCGGGCTCCGTGCGAGGGCAGCGGCGGGTCCTGGGCTCTGCGCCGCGGCACCCACGCAGGGATCAGCGGGCTGCGGGCTGCTCCGTGCCTTGCACCACCCCGTTCTGCAGCCTGCTACGGGCTCTTCCTCTGCTAACTGCTCCCAGGGCCTGGTCTTCAATGGCTCCTTCCCAGGAACAAGAAATGACCACGGGGCTCTGGATCCCTCACGCTTGTGAGGCTGCAGCTGGAAGCTCCAGTCTTTGGAGGCACCTGTGGATGTCCCTGCTGCAGCTCTCAGACCCCTCCTAGGCACCTGGTTCCTTCTGAAGTGCCAAAGCCTGGTGGGGGAGCTGAGCCCCCTTCCTATTTTACTATTTTTTTATTATTCTCCATGGGGAACAGATGCAGAACGGGATGGAGAGAGAAAGTATCAACTCTGAGCAGGTACAAATGATTGCAAGTGGATCTGGGATCAGCAGGTGAAGGTTGTTCCCCCCACACTGCCCTCCTGGCAGCGCTATCATTATCTTAACCTTCTCCCACCCCACCATGTTGGAGCTGTGCATCCTTGTGAATCAATGTTTTAAAAATGTGATGAAATACTCTCCTGATGTCTGGAATGGAAAACGAGTTATTAAATGAGGCCTTTTATAATGGCAGCAGGAGGGTTGTTTCTTCCAGGGGAGAGGCTGGTGGAGAGGAGAGCCCTGGGGCTGCTGGCTCCTCACCTGGCTGCTCTCTTGCCCTGGGGTCTGGCACGAGCARTTGTGCCCGTGCTGGGTCGTGTCACGTTGGCTCTGTGATCAGGCCTGGGCAAAACCAGCTGGAGATGGGACATGAGGAGATGGAAGTGTTTGGAGGCAAGGCCTGGCACTCGGGATGACGGCTGTGGATATCTATGGGAGGCAGCTCTAAGGCTGCGGGATCGGAGCGGGTGTCCTAGCTGGCAGTGTGAGCCCCTTGTCAAAACAGCCTGGATGGTCCCAAAGAGGGGCGGCCCCGAAGTCTTTCCCAGATTTTGGCTTTCTGATCCAAGCTTTTCAGCTGCCTGTTTGGAGAAAAGGAAGGAAGGACCTTGCCCGGGATCCTCCTGTCYTTGTCCCCCTGGCCAGCACACAGGGGACCCAAGCCCAGCTCACGTCCACCTCCTATGTTGCCAGCCCACATGAGGGACCTGCTCGTGGGTTTGAGGGGCCCCGCAGAGCCCCAGAACTTGGTTTTACCTCCCCCCTCCACCTTGAGGCAAAGGGCAGGGATCTCTCCTCCTTGCAGTGCCCAACCTGTTGCTGACTTCAGCCCTCACCTGCCCGTGAGCAGCAGTGAATTCACGAGTGGGGAAGGGCCCAGTGTCCCAGCACGGAGACAAGGGCACTCCGAGCTGCTGTTCCAAGCAGAAAGGCCCGACCCAGGAGCCCAGTTCTTGCTGGGCGGGCCTCTTGGTCCCGCAGACATCAGGGTCCCCCCTGCAGAGTCCCCGAGCACGGCGCCAGGCTCATGTGCCCGCGTGTGCAACRGCAGGAAAATGTATTTGGCAAACACCTCTTTTCACAAACAGCAGCAAGTTGGAAGACAAAGGCCCGTCCTCGCCACCCGCAGCGCAGAGGAGGGCTGGCGACAGCCTCGCTGCCACCCCCGCAGGAGGAGGGGACGCGGTCCTCACCCCTCGGGCCTGGCAGGGAATGCCCGTGCTCCGCGCTGGCCCAGGAGAGACCTCGCCGCCGCTGCCGGCCGCCCTCATCTCATGGCGAACGTGTAGACGTGGTAGATCTCGTCGGGGAAGTTCTCCTGGCGCTCCTCGGCCAGGAGGCGCAGCCCGGCGCGCCGGATGATCTTCCGCACCACGTCCAGGTCGCGGCAGACGCTGCTGTCCACATCGTCCATGATGACGCCCTCCTGAGCCATGTTGTCCTTGATGACCACGATGCCGTTGGGCCGCAGGCCGGCGCGGCACCGCTTCAGGAAGTCGGAGAGGTGGTTGTCCGTGAGGTGTCCTGTAGGGACACAGCCGGTGGGACAGGGGCTGAGGGTACAGGGTGCCTGGGGAAGGGTCTCTATAGGGCAGGACCCCTGGGCAGCCTGTGTATGAGGGGAGGAGGAGGGGACGCTGCTGCCTGGATCCCTCCTCATGGCAGCAACCAGAGTTGCTTGATGACAGTGGAATCTTGAGCTTGGGGATGTCTAAACTGTGTCCYGTGGGCTCTATCCAGCTCCATCCCACCCACACCTCTGCTCCAGCCTCCAAGGGTTTTGGAAAAAAAGAGTCCAGTGCAGTGTCCTCTTGCCCTGCATGGGGCAAGGAGAAGGGCTGCAGACCCCAGCCTGGTGGCACCGCTGCCACACTCGTCCTGACAGCAGTCYCCAAATCCCTCCCCGCCGTCTCCCTTCAGGGGAAGCCAGACGAGGGCCGGGACGTTGAGGGCTCTCACCGATGACCCACTGGATCCAGATGACGTCGTAGGAGTTGGGTTCAGGGCTGAAGTCCTGCAGGCCGCAGCAGAAGTAGTTTCTCACCCGCCTGCCCTCCTCGCCCAGGTAGCTCCGCGCCTTGGTGAGGAAATCCTCCGTCACGTCCACCATGTCCACGGTTTTGAATATGGGCAGGAGCAGCCGCTTGGTGATCCGCCCGATCCCTGCGCCGCAGTCCAGGGCACACGTTGTCCCCGTCCGGTTGGGCCCCTCCTGGAATGACAACCGCGAGGGCCTGAATCGCATCCCCAGGGGTGCCCGGGGCAGGTGGTGGAGAAATGGGACAACCAGAGGGCTGGAGCACCATGAGCTGGAGACCCGCGGGCCGCAGCACAAGGGCAGGGGCTGCGTGGGTCTCRGCTGCTCTGTTGGTGACAAGTCTCCCTTGCTGAAGCCCTGGCTGGCAGGTGACTATTCCCTGATGGACAGAGAAGGTGTCACCCGCAGGGGAACCTGCAGGGCAGCAAAGCCCTGGYAGCGCGTGGGAAATGGAGGATCCTCCACATAGAAAAGCCCAGCTCCAGGCTGGGAGAAGGACAGGTCTTGGAAGCATGACAGACCATGGCCTCCAGCTCAAGGACGAGCTGGAGCAGAGCYGTGCTACCTACTCGGAGAAACTTCTGCAAGAACTTCCTGGAGCTGTTGATGTCGATGCTGGAGATGTGGCCGTAGCCGCCCAGCATGCCGTCCACCGTGGCGGGCACGTCCTTCCAGTACTTCTCCGCCTTGGAGTAGAACTCGAACTCGTTCTCCACCACGTCGCTGGTCATGCTGCCCAAGAGACACGTCCCCGCGCGGGACTCGCTGATCCTGAGACAGGAAAACGTGAGAGAAACTGCAGGTCAGGCTGGGAAGAGACGAGTGTGCGATGGGCAAGGCTGCCCCAGCCCCGTGTGACCCAGCGAGGGCTGGACGAGGAGGGCAGTGAACGCAGGGGCTCCATGCGGACCGGTCTGAGCTGAGGGGAGCTCCATGTCACCCGGATGATGCTGCCATCCAAYGGGATCTGTGAGTGCCAGGGACTTCAACTAACTTCCCATCCCTCTTCCCCAGGGGTATTTCCTCAAAAAGCTCCTGAGTGAGAATGCAAAGGAACAAAGATCCTCTCCGGAGTGGACATCCCTCTCAAGGACCTCTTGGAGACCGAAACGCCCCAAACTCCCTCCCAGGTAGGGATATCCAGCTCTCCTGGACTCTCCAATCTATCTCATCAATCCGGGACTCATCAATCTACCCAGTTTTTCTTCTTTTGGAGACTGCTCCACCCTTTTCACCCACTCTGCCTCCTCTATCTCTGCCTTAAGAGCATTAACACTTTATAGATTATGTGTTTATCTGTATTGACAGCCCCATCAGTCACCTCCAATTATGTCTGAAGTCGCTAAAAGTTATTCTAAGCACCTACCTGAGGATTGTAAATCTCAGCCGTGACCATAAGTTAGATATTTGCAATATAATAAAGTCAAGGTATAATCAGCAATACAAGCTATAAATTCCCCCCAGACATCTCATAATTCAAACCACTATGGATTTGATTAACTGCGCTGGGGATTAGAAACTAGATTTAAGGTGGCCAAAGGGTAAATTCAAGGACTTCAAACATTTCTACAAATAAAGAAATATATAGTGTTCGTGGCTTGAATTTGCTGGCAAATATCTCATTAAACACAAAACCTTTTCTAAGCAGTTTCAGTGGCTTTCCATGGTTTTACACAGCCCGAGGATGGAGCAGGGAAGGCGGCCGAGCCTGCGACGCTGCTCTTGACGCGTCTCACCTTTAGGTCACCGCTTCAAATCCAGCTTGGCTGGGTGGTGCCTGGAGCAGGTTCTGTCATTGAGGGAAAGAAAACATGGGATAAATACAGGATCAATAGGGGATCGGTCCATAAAGTCCCGTGAGGGCCAACGCAGCGATCCCGGCGCTGCAGGGCCAGGGGGACCGAGGTTTGTGTCCCCGAGGTTTGTGCTCTGGGGACCGGGGCTGCCCCTCGGTGTGGAGCCCTTGGGGGATGTCCCATGCTGTGGGACACATCCCAGGCTGTGGGGGATGTCCCATGCCATGCCATGGAGGATGTCCCATGCCGGGGGGCAGGGCCATGTCAGGTGTATCCTGCAAGCAGCATCTCCCGCATTTCCCGGCCTCTTTTCGCCCCGGGCGCGGTGACCGGGACCACCGCAAGCCGCGGAGGCCCCAGGGAAGCGGCAGCACGGGGGCCACGGGACCAGGAAGGTCCGGGGGTGACACCGGCCGGCGCGAGGGGCTCCCGCAGGCGGGGGCTCCTGGTGGGGCTGCCGGGCGTTCCAGGAAGGGCCGCATTCCGGCTCTCCGGGGCCGCTCCCGGGTGACGCAGCCTGGGGTGCCCCGTGGGACGTGGCCGGTGTCCGGGCGCTCCGGAAACGCGGCAGCCACGGGTACCGGGACACGGGGGTCCCCCCGCCACCCCGGTCCAGACCCCTCCCTGGTCAAGAGCCCCTCCCCCCAGCCCTCCTGGCCAGGAAAGGGGGGGGCT